TTTGTATGTATGTATGCGTGTATTTACATGCACACGAAGGCAAAAATATTTTCTGCTGAGTTTTTTGGTCAAAGTGTTTTTTGCTGAGAGGCTTTGTGTGAGGGAAAATCGTGTTAGTTTTACGCGACACTCATGTGAGAGCGTCACACGAATGAGTCATCGCATTGCGTCTGAGCGAAACATATGCTAAAGAAAACAGAGAGTGACGCTCAGAGTGAGACGTGTCTGCACAATTTTTTTTGGATATGATGCGAGGAAGAGAATCAACGAAAAAACGCTCAACTCTCATTTGCAAGCTCTGATATATATAGATATATATATATATATATACACTTCGCGTCATCAGGTTAGCGCCCCCCCTTACACTGATTTTCTTTTACGTTTTTCTCTTTGCCTATTGCACGTAACTTGGTTTTTTTTTTATTATACCCTGAACCCATTGAAAATGGGAAATCAGGGTATATTGGTTTTGTGAAAAAGTATGTAACGGGCAGAAGGAGGCGTGGCAGACCCCACAAAGTATATATATTCTTGATCAGCGCGATGAGCTGAGTCGATATAGCCCTGTCCGTCTGTCCGTCCGTCCGTCCGTATGAGTGCGTCGATCTCAGAAGTTATAAGAGCTAGAGAACTGAAATTTGGCATGCATACTCGTGTGTACCATACGCAGTACGAGTTTTATTTTTTCGATAACTCATCCGATAACTTTTTTATCGAGAATAATCGAAAAATTGATTTTGTTTTTTTAGCCTAATTTGAAACCTTTTAGACCTGGAGTCTTCAAATTTGCGTTCTATATAAAGTTAATGGATACAAAGATTTTGTAGTTTACAGATTTTGGATACCACGCCCCCTTCGCCCCCAATTTGTAAAAAACGCATCAAAAATACTAGAGACTTGTGCTTTGGAATGTACACACATATTCACCATATGAATACGCTCTGAAAGTTTTATTAAGATCATATGTCTACAAAAGAAATTATTTAACAAATAAATTCTCATAATATTGCCCACACTGCAGCGCAGCCCAAGCGCAGTCGCTGCTTACTGCGCAGTTAGCAGAGCGCAGGCTTATGCATGTGTATGTATGTATGTGTGCATAAAAGAAGTGCAGAATGATTAGAATATCAGCTTAGAGGGTTCAGGGTATCTCCTAGTCGAGCAGTCTCGACTGGAGCCTTCTTACTTGTTTCATTATCATCATATGAGATGTCTCTCATATCAAAAAAAAAAAAGCGTGAGTGAGACCCCGTTATGTTTAATTTTCTTCTCTATATTCGCAAAAAATGTGTGCACTTATTTTGCGTCATCAGATTAGCGCCCCCAAATGCAATTGTATTTATCTTTCTTATTTTGGCAATTACACTCACCAAATTTTTTGTGAAGCTCAAAGTATTCAATATATTTATAGTATGGGTAAAGAAACAGTTTTTTGTTTGGTTGAAAATCAAAGATTGAGGCATACCTTAAATCTGGACTATGCAACCATAAAATTGCTGAAAAAACAGGAAAAAACCGAAAACTAAGTGGCAATTTTCTTACAAATAGGGAAAACTATGGAAAAAATTATATAAGCGGCAATAATCAAGTGATTTCAGAAGGAAATAGAAGAGCATTAGTTCGAGAAGCTTCGAATTCCCACGAATCGACCACCAAGATTAAAGTTAAAATCAGTGTTAAGACGAGCTTATCAACGGTCCAAAGAGCAATTAAGAAAGTTAATTACTTAAAGAAACAGAATGTAAAACAAGTAAGAAACCTCCAGTCGAGACTGCTCGACTAGGAGATACCCTGAACCCTCTAAGCTGATATTCTAATCATTCTGCACTTCTTTTATGCACACATACATACACATGCATCCACACGCACGCATAAGCCTGCACTCTGCTAACTGCGCAGTAAGCAGCGACTACGCTTGGGCTGCGCTGCAATGTGGGCAATATTATGAGAATTTATTTGTTGAATAATTTCTTTTGTAGACATATGATCTTAATGAAACTTTCAAAACGTGATCATATGGTGAATATGTATGTACATTCCAAAGCACAAGTCGCTAGTACTTGAAATGCTTTTCTTACAAATTGGGGGAGAAGGGGGCGTGGTAGCCAAAATCTGTAAATTACAAAATCTTTGTATCCATTAACTTTATATACAACGCAAATTTGAAGACTCCAGGTCTAAAAGTGTTCAAATTAGGCTAAAAAAAAAAAATCAATTTTTCGATTATTCTCGATAAAAAAGTTATCGGATGATTTATCGAAGAAATAAAGAAAACTCGAACTGCGTATGGTACACACGAGTATGCATGCCAAATTGCAGCTCTCTAGCTCTTATAACTTCTGAGATCGACGCACTCATACGGACGGACGGACGGACAGACGGACAGGGCTATATCGACTCAGCTCATCGCGCTGATCAAGAATATATATACTTTGTGGGGTCTGCCACGCCTCCTTCTGCCCGTTACATACTTTTTCACAAAACCATTATACCCTGATTTCCCATTTTCAATGCGTTCAGGGTATAAAAAGACACCAGTCGATAAGCTGAGAAAAGAAATACGCATTAATTTTGGCCGGGCGAACATGACGTGGTCTATCCAATGGCAGCATGTTGTCTTTTCTGATGAGAAAAATTGAATTTGGAAGAAACTGATGGCTATAATTATTATATCCATGACACACCATAGATGAACATTATTTAGAACGGTTTCCGCCGCTGCGGCGGGGAGGTGGTGTGGCATTGGTGTAGGTATCAATATCTTACTAAAGCACTTGCAAGCTTCAATTTTTGACATCACGCATGAACGCATAGGACTATAACATCGTGTTTAAAACTGCTGTTCTGCATTTCTATAACCTGTCTGAAAACTGGCATTAGATTTTCCAGCATGATAATGCTCCAATTCAGACCGCCCGATCACTAAAGTCCTGGATTCAGGGCCAAAAATTTGGTTGATCAAACCGATTGTATGTCTTCATCTGTTTCCATGTCCGTAATGAACGTCTTCATTGCACCGTACTTCAGAAAAAAAAATTTTTTTTATATAAAGGTAACAGTTCTTGCACTTTTATTTGCAATTTCAAACAGTAGAATTAGCATTGTATGTAAACAGTATCGCTTCTCGATCGTTATTAACTATTATTAGGGTCACCGGCTTGAGTAGCGCTACTCTAAAATATGTTATTGCCCTTATTATTAAAAAGAGTCTGTTGAAACTAGTTCAAAGATCTTTTGCACGGTGCCTCCTGTGTTGGCTGATTATATATACACCGGCTTGTCATGCAAGCCTTTGGGCTCAGAAGCGTTTGTTAAGAGATTGCATAGGCAAATCTTCTTGAACATATCCTGCAGGAATTTTTCTGTTTACTTGCCTGGTAGTGACTTCAAGTCTTTTATAAAATTTTGGTCTTGGCCAGATGAGATTCTTAGTCGCCTTTTACGACAAGCGTTCTCTCACTGTGGTATTATTCTAAAGCCCCGCGACCACACGGGTGCATTTAAGGCTGGCTTTAGTTACATATTAAATCATAATTGTTTTGTATGTTGGATATTATTCTATCCATTATAGGTGTTATGCCAAGATATTATATGACGAAATAGGCAATAAGTTCAAGGCTGAAATCGACAATATCGAGTCAGCAAGATCACAAAATTTCAAATGAACAAGTAAGAAAGCTTTAGTCGATTGTGTTCGACTACGAGATCCCCTGAACCCTTCGAGCAATAGCTATTTCACACACATACAAACACACACACACGCACGCACACATACTAACAAACATACACAGACACATACACTCACACATACACACACAAGCACCCAAGCATAAACATGCAAGGGCTGCAGTATGCGCTTACTATGAGAACTTAATTGTTTACTAACTGTTATGCATGTATTTGCAGTGTGCGCTTACTATGGGAACTATGGGAATTGTTTAATAATTTTTCTTGTGGACATACGATCTTCAGATCGTAATTATATCAGTAATTTGCGTGCACTTGCCAAGCACAAGTCTCTAGTACTTGAAATACGCCTTTTACAAAGGTGAGGGTGAGGGGGTGGATATAGGGATGGAGGTAAATTACAACAAAAATCTAAATGATATAAAATACACATTTTAAATTTGGAAGCTCTAGCTCTAAAGGTGTAGGAGATATAATTAAATAACTAGCTTTCGATAAGGTTTTTGATCGATAGTAAAATATCGGGAGTAGTTATCGATATATAGAGAAAAACTATATATGCGCGAATTATGGTTTTATTTATATATCTTTTGATACACAAGCACAATAAAAGCTGTAAATCGCTGAAACAAAATGTCTTTAGATATTTTTATATGTTGAGTGAATAAAAACACTTAATATATTCTGATATTATAATTTTGCTTTATTGATGATAAAGCCTTCCGTTCTGTTCGGAATGAATCTTAAAACTGCATGTAATGTTTTTTTTTACATATACAAATGCCCGTTTCGCTTATATTTATTGTAACTTTTCTTTGGCATTTGCAAATGCCAGTTTTGCTTACATTTGTTGTTGCTAACTAAGCGTCGCCGCCGCTTCCGTTGTTTATACTTCGGTAATCTGATCTCTTTTTAAATATTTCTGCATGATTATGCTGATCTGGTCATTATCGTTATTCCCATGCACAAGTGCATTTGGTTGTGCAATTTGCAACTTGTCAGTTATTTGCAAGCCATGATTTCAATATATAATCACAATCTAAAAGTTTCATGAAGTAAGTACATCCTCCCGAAAAGTTATAATTAAGTTCCCATTGTAAGCCAATACCACAGCCCATGCGTGCGTATGTCTGCATGTGCATGTTTTGTTTCTTGTGTAGGTAGAAAGACACGAAGAATTATTGAAATATCAATTAATCGAAGGGTTCCAGGGATCACGTAGTCGGGCAGTCTCGACTTTCTTACTTGTTTTAATTTTTTTAATTTGATAAAAGTAGAACTCATTGAAACCATAATTTTTTCTTTCATTAAAGGCTAGAGAAAATCGACATGCGATGGCTAGAGCCTTGTACTCTAAAACTTTTACTTGGCTTGTAAATAAAATAAACATATGCACAAGTCCTGGAAAAGATTTTAATCAATTTCTAGGAGTTCTTGATATTTTCGGTTTCGAGAATTTTACAAGGAATTCATTCGAACAACTTTGTATTAACTATACGAATGAAAAGTTGCACAAATTCTTTAATCATTACGTCTTTGCGTTGGAACTTTCAATAGTAAGTATACAAGAAATATATAATATTATAATATTCAATTATTTTTTTCATCAATTGGTTCTCAATTATGAAAGAATTTTTAATTTTTCGTATTGCATATACTACTATTATTCTGATAATATTGTAACTAAAATCTAAATCTCTTTTTAGTATAAGCAAGAAGATATAAATTATACTCACGTTGAGTTTACAGATAACTCATTATGCTTGGAGCTTATAGAAAAACCTCCCCGGTGCATATTCAAACTTCTCACTGAACAATGTCACATGCCCAAGGGATCGGATTCAGCGTACTTGAATAATCTGCATGCGGAATTCGAATACAATCCTATGTACATAAAGGGTTTAGATCGTCGTCATTGGGAAACAGAGTTTGGTATTAGACACTACGCAGGAAAAGTAATTTATTCAGTAGAGGGATTTGTTGATAAAAATCGAGATATGCAACAAGATGTTCTTTTTGATTATATGAGCCGCAGTGAACACACATTTCTTTGCGATCTTGCTAAAAGCCAGGTAAGTTGTTTTTTTTTTTTAATAAAACGGCAAATGTCGTTCAAGGACTTTTCAAAATAAAGCTAAAGTCGGAAATACCCAACTAGGAGATACACCAATTCCCATAATCAACGTATTGCATATGTTGTTATTCATGTTCTATGTATTCAAGTAAAAAGAAAGATAACTAACAAAGCGATTACCCGTCAGCTTCAAGATCTCAATATCAATATAGTGATTTATCTATATGTCTGAACGCGTCGATCGATGAAGTTAAAACTGATATTGATCGTAGGAGACAAGTTTCTTTAAAAGAATATTACAGAAGAATCCCGATAATTCCAAATTGTAAGGGTCATCAGTTTTTTTTAGATTTACACAGAAATTCAAATTATTTAGTATTATTGAGAACGAATTTCTTTCAAAGGTATAGAATTTTTGTTTCGATTTATCGCGATTTTCAATTTAGCGATAATTTAGTCGAGTCTGAAGGCTTTTAAATTGAATTTTAAAAGATACTATTTTAGATACTCAGCTATTTAAAATAGCCCTGATACGGTACATTGATTGTTAGGCAAGGCAATCAGCTTCTGGTATTGAAGAGCCTGTTGGCTGTCTCGCTCTCAGTTGTTCTGGTCTCGGCATTAATGGCATCAAACCGGTAATATACCAACATCAGTGTCATGTTGGTATATTATCGGTATTTGGGTCTTTCTCCTCGATCGTCATGCGAATAAGATACACCATTTGTAATAGTGTAATTCTGTTCTAGATGAAGTTTTTAATAGTTCAATATGGCTCACAATGCACACAGATAATGATAGTTGGTAATTTTCTCTCTTCTCTCCATGGGAGCATTATTGCCGGCACATACCAGTGTGTTCAAAAATTACTATTGTAGCCATTTTCAAGCAAGCGTTGAGCATATACCCATTTAATCATCAGGTTTGAATTCTCATGATGCTCAGATTTATTTTATTTAATATAAATATGCTATTTCATATTGAAGGTTTTAGATTACTTGCAAAGGCAAAAATTTTATTAGTTAGTGTTAAATGTCTTGCGTATATTTAAAATCGAATCGGTCCTCAGATAATCTCCTAGTTCGAAATCCTGGCAACAATACCTAACATACTACTATATAGGAAACTAAATAGTTAATTGAGATTATTTTTCTCGTGGCGTCACAACAACCGTAATTTTATTTCATCATATAAAGGATCAATCGTGCTCTAATTTAATACCTAACGTTTCAACCAACCAACGGGGTACAAGTAAATCCAAATCTACAGTCAGCGATCAATTTCGTCAACAATTACAGTCTTTGATCGACGTACTCCAGAATACAAAACTATGGTAAGTTTATATCAGTATTAATTAATGTGTATAGACAAAACTAATAAGAAATATTGATTCAGATATTTAAAACAAAATTATATTTAATTGTCAAATTAAACAAGTAAGAAATGTCTAGTCGAGACTGCTCGACTACGAGATCCCCTGAACCGTTCGAGCAACTGATATTTCAATAATTATTCGCATATGCACGCACACACGCACACATACACGCACACACACAGACATACGTACGCACGCATAAACACGCATTGGCTACAGTGTTGGCTTACTATGGGAACTTAATTGTTTAATAATTTTCTTGTGGATGGACTATCTTCATGAAACTTTCAAATTATAAATATAACATAGATATGAATGTATTTGCCAAAGCACAAGTCCCTAGTATTTGAAATACGCCTTTTACAAAAGTGAGGGTGAGGAGTTGAATTTTAGGTGGGGGGCAAATTTTGACAAAAACCGAAAGTGTATAAAATGCATATAGGTATACATATAAAATTTGGAGAGTCTAACTTTAAAGATGTAGCAGATATAAATTTATTACTGGTTTTCGATCATGTTTTTAATCGATAACAAAACGGGGCAAGCTATCGATATTTAAAGCAAAACTCGATATGCGCGTGATATACACGGACCTAGGAAAAATATTTTCAAGTCTCTAGCTCTCTGAGATCGACGCGTTCAAACATACGGACAGACGGACGGACGGACAGGGCTAAATCGACTCAGCTCGTCGCCCTGATCAAGAATATATATACTTTATGGCGTCTGCCACGCCTCCTTCTGCCTGTTACATACATTTATCAAAACCATTATACCCTGATTTTCCATTGAAAATTGGTTGAGGGTATAAAAAGCCTAATCAAAGTACAGGATATAATTTCAATAGTAACACCGACCCGATGGGGGTATTTTTTATATATTTATAGCGCGTTTATCGAGATTATCTTAAAGAATCGATATCATCCCGTTATTCACCCCCTCACCAAATGCATGCATATCCATGGTTTAATCATAATCAGAAAGTTTCATGAAAAAAGTACATCCACAAGAAAAATGAAATGTATGTAACAGGCAGAAGGAGGCGTGGCAGACCCCCCGACCGTACGTCTCAACGTCGGGATCTCAGAAGATATAAGAGCTATATAAGAGATTCACCAAAAAGTCTTAATGTTGCTCACATTGCAGCCCAAGCGCAGATGCTGCTAGCTGCGCAGTTATCAGAGCTCGTGTTTATATGTGCGTAATATTTATATGTATGTATGCATAAAAGAAGTGCAGAATGATTAGAATATCTGCTTGGAGGGTTCAAGGGATCTCCTAGTCCAGAAGTCTCGACAAGTGCCTTCTTATTTAGAATTTTCAAAATATTTATAATACTTTTATAATATTAGAGTTAAAAATTTGGAAGGCTTTGTATTGAAATAATCTTTAATAATTACTTTAAACAATTTTGTACAGGTATATTCGATGTATAAAACCAAATTCTCTTAAACAAGCAAATATATACAATGAGTCCTTAGTTCTCGATCAATTGAGGTACCTTGGAATTTTGGATATAATTCGAATTAGACGCGAAGGCTTTCCAATTCATCTGACTTTCTCAGAATTCATATCAAAATATAAATGTGTGATAAGAAATAAAACATTTTCAAATAGCCTTAATGACATACTGCTTGTATTAAAAGAGCTTAAAGTCCCTGAAACTGAGTGGCAAATTGGCAAAACAAAAATATTTTTAAGAAGCTCTGCAATTGAGCCGTTGGAGGATGAAAGAAAAAGGATAAGATGTGCCAACTCAATAATTATACAGAAAAACTGGAGACGTTACTTAAACAATAAGTATTATATGCATGTAAAGAAATCTATACTTATTATACAGCACGCGTATAGGGGTTGGAAATTGCGAATTAAATTTTTAAGAATACGTCGAAGCGTAATAATAATACAAAGTCGATTACGTGGTGTATTTGCAAGAGAGGTAAGAAAATACAACTTAAAAGCTTTAAACTTACTATTAATATAGGTTGATCGAAGCATTGCCTATCATTTTTATTTTCTTCAACTTCTGCAGCTTGTCGAAAAATAAGTTTAGGTACACAACGGTTTTTCAACTTAACAGTATTAAAAAGTGGTTAAACGAAACGAAATAAACAAAAGTGTTGATGCGACCTTTTAAATTATATATTTGGCCACATAAAAACCTTACCATTAACTTATTCCAATAAAAAACAGTTGAATTAGGCTAAATAATATGTAAAAAAAAAAAAACATGAAAAACGTGCCAAAAAAGTTTGGGTACACTTATAAAAAACTATCTAAAAATATGTATTAATATTTAGTAAGACCGCCTTTGGCAGCAATTACTGCAAACAGTCGACGACGCATACTTCGCACTAAGCGTTTGGTGTGATTTTCGGTAATTTTAACCCACTCGGACCTCAAAACTGACTTTGGGGAATCTATTGAGGATATTTAATATTTCCGGATCCTTTTATCTAGTGAATTCCAAATGTGCTCAATTGGATCGAAGTCAGGAGATAGTGGCGGGGCATATGACTGATTTGTGTTATATAAAAGCCACTCCCTCACAAGATAAGAGGTGTGTTTCGGGTCATATGCTTGTTGAAAATAATAATGGCCGTCACATAACTGGAGATGAGTCGCGCTCTCCTTGAGATTATCTTTCAATACTCTCAAATAGTAATGTTTATCCCAGACCATCGCTTTTCCGCCTCTATGCTTCACAGTTGTAGTTAAATTTTTTAGTTGTAGAGCAGTATTGCGTTTTCTCCATACTTTTTGAGCCCCATCTGACCTAAGAAGGTTAAATTTGGATTCGTCACCTCAAATTACTGAAACTGCTTCTGAGCAAATTCTAGACTTTTTTTTATTGGCGTCGGAAATCAAAGGTTTCTTGCGCGAAGTTCGGGAATTGTGCTCCTCCTTGTGGAGCACATTTCGCACAGTTTGGGGATGCGTTTATCATTGACACTCAATTTTTCAGGACGGCCTGATCTTGGTTGAACTTCAAGTGTTGCCGTTTTTCCGTAGGATATTATTATATTTTGCACACTGTAAGGGGATCGCCCAATCTTTCGGCCAATTTCGCGTACTCCTTTCCCTTCTAAGTAGAGATTTATTAGACGCGCTTCTAGTGGGATTTGCTTCCCTGGACCCTTATTGGCCAATTACTCTCGCAAAAATGACACAAATGAAATTGCAATTCATAATAACTCAAGTATGTGACTCGAAGAAAAGAAAAGAAGAAAATTTACCTAACTGTAAAAGGGTCAGACGAATTGTACCTAAACGTTTTTGGCCTGCATTTAGGTAGTTTAACCCTTTTTTGGTGCATAAAAAGGTCACACATGAAGCAAACAAATTTTGTTTTGCCTATTTCATAAATAAATACCTCTCTTATCTGTAAACTAATCTTAATTCATTAATTGCCATATAAGTTAAAGGGTATTTTTAATAATGAATGTTGATTAAAGGAGTGTACCTAAACTTTTTTTTGCCGACTGTACATGTATCATTTTTGGCTGCGCAACCTCTTTATAACTTTATGTTTAGTAATTCATTAGTAGTTAATCTAATAACTAATCACTAATGCCACGGACACGGATAATAGGCTAATCAAACTAAAATGAAAAGCCATTTATTAGCGCTCGTAAATAATTGAAGTCTGGTCTATGAAAAATCTATAATATAATCGAAACTAATCCATATAATTCGATGATCAAATTAAATGGAGCAATCAGTAGTGGAATTAAAAACTGAATGCAAATTTAAAGAATTTCTACATCATACTTCAAATATTTTTCTTACATCGTGACCCAAAAATAATATTATCTCAAGAGTGTTAGTATTATCTGTGCGTCCATCCTTTATCCTTTATTATGCGAGGTTTTTTACTTTTTTTAAGTATCACACGCCAGACAAAATGTACAATTTTTTTTCTGTATATTCATTCTACCGTACCATAATAATATATGTTTCTTATCAAACCGATTAATAACTGAAACGACGTGTTAAATTAATAGTATCAATGTTTCATAGGTGGCAACTGCTTTACGTGAAATGCGTCGTGTAGATGAAGAAATGAAAAAACGCGAAAGAATCACATTTGAAACTCCTACGAATGATTATAAGGCAATTGAAGATTGCGAGAGGTAATTAAAGATACGAATAGCAGTCTACTTATATATACTTTATATTTACTACTATATACATATAATATATACTACTATATATAATTATATAAGGTGCGTGAAATAAGTTACCGGTCACTAAGCTTAACGCTATAAATAAATATTCAATTATAATATACAAAATCAGGTAAGAACGTTTCAGTCGGGCGTTACCAACACATTTGCCACATCTAGGGATATAATATCGAATGCAAAGTATCGATCATGTACTCATAAGAGGCATCAAAAGAAAAGCATCGTACTCATAAAAATATCGAGACAAAAGCATCGATGTTGCAAGTTATCGTTCGGGGAAAATAGGCTGCTAGTTTTTATACCCTGAACCTATTTTCAATGGGAAATCAGGGTATAATGGTTTTATTGAAATGTATGTAACAGGCAGAAGGAGGCGTGGCAGACCCCACAAAGTATATATATTCTTGATCAGGGCGACGAGCTGAGTCGATTTGGCCCTGTCCGTCTGTCTGTCCGTCTGTCCGTATGTATGAACGCGTCGATTTCAGGAGATATAAGAGCTAGAGACTTCAAATTTTGTTTAAAATGTCCGTAATTACAGCGCGCATATCAAGTTTATCATTAAAAATCGATAACTCATCCCGATATTTTTTATCGATAAAAAACCTTATCGAAAACCAATTATAAAATTATATCTTCTACACCTTTATTGCTAGAGTCTCCAAATTTTTAATGTATGCTTATATGCAATTTATACAATTTCGTTTTTTTTTTAAATGTACCCCCACCTCTAAATTCACCCCCTCACCATCACTTTTGTAAAAAGCGTATTTCAAATACTAGAGACTTGTGCTTTGGCAATGACATGCATATTCATGTTATAATCATAATCTGAAAGTTTTATGAAGATCGTACGTCCATCCAAAAAAGTTATTAAGCAATTAAGTTCTCATAGTAAGCGCACACTGCAGCCCATGCGTGTTTATGCGTGGGTGCTTGTGTGTGTATGTGTTTGTGTATGTGTGTGTATGTGTTTGTGTATGTGTATGTATGTGTTTGTGTATGTGTGTGTGTATGTGAGTGTGTGTATGCGTTTGTGTCTGTATGCGTGTGTGTGTATGTATGCCTGTGTGTGCGTACGTGCGTGTGTGTGTGTGTGTGCGTGTTTCTTGTGTAAGCTGAAAGACGCGAAAAATTATTGAAATATCTATTGCTCCAAGGGTTTAGGGGATCTCGTAGTCAAACAGTCTCGGCTAGAGCTTTCTTACATGTTGTAATAGTACTTCCATCTTTAGAGAATAAATAGGGTTTGATAGTGCATTCTTGTACAAATTTCATTTAATTTTGCAACTTGGATTTTACCCTGAACCCATTGAAATGGGAAAATGATCTGCCACGCCTCCTTCTGCCTGTTACATACTTTTAACAAAACCATTATACCCTGGTTTTGTTAAAAGTATGTAACAGGCAGAAGGAGGCGTGGCAGACCCCACAAAGTACAGTGCTTATCATAATTATAGCCCACTTTTAATCCACTGAAACGAATCGGCTGAAAACTTTTCCCAAATGGCATATTTCCTCGAAAACTTCAAAAATGAGTAGTTCAATATTTAAATTATGAATGGCAAACAACTTTTTCACTTAAAATTCACGATTTAATAATGATTTTTTTAAAAGAAGTAAAAAACAAAGAAAAACAGCACCATTTTCTGTATCAAAATTATAGCCCATATTCATATTTTTGTAAAAAAAAATCCGAAGTCGTTGCGGATTGATGGAAAAACTAATGTTAATACTTAGTCCGGCCTCCATTTGCCTTAGTTAACTCAAAAATTCTCTTCCTCATTGAAACCACTAAATTTAATAAAAGGTCCTTTTCGAAACTTTGTCATTCTTTTAGAATTTGCGTTTTAAGATATCCAACTGTTTCCAACTGGCGATTTTTGGCATACACACGTATTGCAAGATTACCCCAGACATTTTTATCGGGTTGAGATCCGAAAAACATGCTGGCCAGTCAAGGACATCAACATGACATTCCTCCAAACACTCTTTTGTACGTCTGCTCACATGGATTCTGGCATTATCCTGTTGGAAAACCATTGGTTTCTCACGTAATTCCCTTGAATATGGAATGAGACTACTATCCAGAGCCTGAATATACTCTTCACTGTTCATTCGGTTTATTACAAACTTCAATTCCCAGGTACCAAATGGAAAAAATGGACCCAAAATCATGACGGAGCCACTTCCAAAGTCTGTCCTTGAAAAAAACATAGGATCCTTCCTCCAATCATGCTAATAAGTATCATCAGGACCATCCAGGTTAAACTTCTTCCCATCAGAAAATGTGACCTGTTAGGGTAAAATTTTTTAGATATACTGTAAGCCAAAAGACGATGATTCAAACGCGCGTATGTCAGATCGGTCCTTCGGCTAAACCAAGTCGAGCAACCTTGTGGCGACTTAGCAACATGGATGCTTTGGTCAGTTTAGACCTATTTATGATTCCTGAGCTCTTAAGTACTCGCCAAACAGTCATCGCTGACATAGATTCGCCCACATGTGAGGTCAAAGCTGAAGAAGCGGTTGAGCTGTTGCTGGTTTTCTTAATAATTTTGCGTTTATCGGGAGCAATTAGTAACGGTTTTCACTTAGTGCGCCTTCTTGATCCTTATTTTTCGGGGTTATCCAAAAAAATTTTAATTACACTTTTATTTTTTTTTTCCAAAATTTAAAAAATACGGCCCTTTTCAAAATAAGATAATTGTTTTCCAAGCGGCATCTCTTAAAAACTATCTAAATTTACTTAATTACAATGTCTGTAAAGCCAAAAGTCTGTTCCGCACTTAATAAATTCAAATTTGCGACAGTGGGCTATAATTATGATACACAAAAATGCAAGCAAAAAGGCTAGCACAGAGCAAAAGTTAACGGTTCTTTCTTAGTTTTCCATAAATTGAACTAAAATTTCAAACAAACTACTAAACATGCTCCAGTCTAGAAAGTGCTGTAAAATTTATTTTTGAAACCCCTTAAAAATTTTGTTATTTTGTCCGTATGTTTGAACGCGTCGATCTCAGAAGATATAAGAGCTAAAGACTTGAAATTTTTTTCTAGGTCCGTGTATATCACGCGCATATCGAGTTTTTCTCTATATATTGATAGCTGCTCCCGATTATCGATTATTATCGATCAGAAACCTTTTCGAAAGCTAGTTATTTAATTATATCTTCTACACCTTTAGAGCTAGAGCTTCCAAATTTTTAATTTCGGTTTTTGTTGTAATTTACCCCCCAGCCCTATATCCAACCCCCCACTCTCACCATTGTAAAAGGCGTATTTCAAGTACTAGAGATTTGTGCTTTGGAATGTACATACATTATGATTATGTTCTGAAAGTTTCATTGAGATTGTACGTCTAGAAATTAAATTATTCAACAAATAAATTCTTATAATGTTGCCCACAGTGCAGCGCAGCCCAAGCGCAGTCGCTGCTTACTGCGCAGTTAGCAGAGCGCGTTCTAATACGTGAGTGTGTATGTATGTGTGCCGAAAAGAAGTGCAGAGTGATTAGAATATCAGGTTAGAGGGTCCGTCTGTCTGTATTTGTCCGTTTATATCTGTATCTGTATCTGTCCGTTTGTCTGTATGTTTGAACGCGTCGATTTCAGAAAATATAAGAGCTACAGACTTGAAATTTTTTTAAATGTCCGTATATATAGCGCGGATATCGAGTTTATCTAAAAACAGGTAAGAAACCTCTTGTCGAGACTGCTCGACTACGAGATCTTCTGAACCCTTGGACCAATAGCTATTTCATTAATTTTTCGCGTCTTTCAGCTTACACACGAAACACGCACACACACACACGCACAGACACAAACATGCATACACACGCATAGGCTGCAGTGTGCGCTTACTATAAGCAATTAATTGTTTAATAACTTTTTGTGGACATACGATACGAAATTTGATCAAAAACCTAAATTGTATAATACATAAAAAATTTGGAGACTCTAGCAATAAAGGTGTAGGAGATATAATTTTATAACTGGTTTTCGATAAAGTTTCTTATCGATTTTTTGTGATGAACTCGACTATATTTGTAAAATGCGTATCTAAAATATTAGAGAATTGTGCTTGTGATAAATGAACGCCTTTTAATAATACACAATCACAATCTAAAAGTTTCATGAAGGAAGTCCATCCACAAGCTATTAAATATTTAACATTCCCATAGTAAAGCCACTCTGCAGCTCATGCTTATTTATGCGTGCGTGCGTATATGTGTCTATTAGAGTTGCCAAACTATTGATAGTTGGTGATTGTGAATTCAGAACCATAGATATTTGTCGATTGTATCGTCGATAGTACCCCGATAGTCCTTAATATGTAACAACTGTAAGTATTTAAAAACTTGGCCTATTCGATGTTTTAAACAATTAAAGCTCTTTAAAATTCGGTTAATCTAAAATATAAAACAAGTAAGAACGTTGCAGTCGGGCGTTACCGACTGCGGAATACTCATTCACATCCCATCAACAATTTAGTAGTTAAGTTTCGCTCTAATACTGTAGAATATACAGGTTTTTCCGATTTGCCACGTCCCAACTGGGCGTAGACACCTCATTTTTGGTCAGTTTTTAGAAAGAGATAACGGTACCCTAACTGCAAAGTTTGAATGCTTACCCTCAAAAAATGTGAAAATTACAGGGTATTTTTCGATATGCCACGCCCCTAAAGAGGCGTAAAAATTATTTTTGGGGAATCGATAGAGGAGGCTATCAGTAACTCAACCATCCAAATTTGAAGCTTCTAGCTACTATACTTTAGGAGATATAAACTTTTGCGGTTTGCCACGCCCCCTGTGGGCGGACATATATCCGACAAAACTTTTTGGTCTTGGGTGATCAGTCCGAGTATATATACAAAATTTGAGATCTCTGCCATCAATAGTGTCCAAAATATAGGACAATTTAAAAAATCACTATATCTTCAGGTCC